ACGCAGCCAAGAGACAACAACTAAGACCGGCGTACGAAAGTGCACAATTGATGGCTGTAAACCAGTCTGGTGCCAACACAACATCAGAAATGAGAGAGAACGAGGGGGTCGGGATACGAGGCAGTTGGATGGGGGACACAGGCGTAACGGTTAGCAAGAATAACATTTGTTTGTTTCACCGTACACCTTTTGATACATTTTGTTAGTTTATTGTATGAACCAAACTGAACCTATAAAGGAACAGGCTATCCAAACTCGTAAGAGCTTGCCAAGCTATTTTTGAATATCTGGGATAACGAAACTGTCTCACATATAGGGAGAATCGATTGTTTCACTCGTCCACAAGAAGGGCTGTCGTAACACCTGTTCCAACCACAGGGAATAAGTGTGACTCCAACAGCACCGAAGCTGTCAGCGTCCGTCTTATTACACGGAACAAGCCCATTCATGGAAGATCCGCGAAGAGCAGACCGGGTTTCGTGCTTGTCGTGGTTGCATAGATCAAATCTTCATTCTTCAGCTGCTAAAACACCGCCACACATAGGGCCCACAAACTTGTATTTTGATATGAGAACAACCTCCGAGTCCACCGATCGCCCTGCGCTGTGTAATAATCCTCGGTGTACCCGAGGAGTATGTCCTGCTTCTAAAAGCACTCGGCCGCCAGACTTCGGGTAAGGTTAAAGCCCATTGCGAATTCTCACCTTCGTTTCCTGTCACTAGTGGCTTATGATAGGATTGTCCTACCTCTCTATTTCTCTTCAACTTTGCGGTAGATAATGTTCTGCAAAAAGCGTTGCTTAACTTAACGAGTTTCTTCCTGGAGACGGAATCGTAGGCTTAGAGTACGCGCATGATATAAACTTACTCGATGAAAACGCATTGGCGATTCAAAACACGCTGAATTGTTGGAAATTAAGATTGCTCATTATAGTATGTCCTTTGAAACCTTTGAAGTGCAAGGTGTTGTAAGATAGGCAGGAACCTGTTCCTGTACTTTTGTTGGGTAATTACACTATGGAAGTAGTCAAAAGCTTTGTCTATCTCCGAAATTGCATAACGGCTGGCGGTGTGTGGTAGATCTCCCAAAGCATAATAGAAGCCGGATTATCGTTTGCTAATATGCGGCATCATTGAAATGGCGTGTGCATTGCGCAACGGTACTGCTGCAAAACTTGGCCAGTCCGAGCAGATCATGTTCAACGACTATCCGTCTTCGACAACCGTTGCCTGCACAACATCGCTCGCGCATGGTGAGAGCATCGCGTGAGTAATGATGAGGTTAGATGAGTGTGTTGGGGGTCAAATAGTCTTCCACTGAGCTATGTCAGTGCATCATCTGAGGTGACTGGTGCTTCCTACGAATGTCTGAACAACGTCTGCCATACCGTGCGCTATTCGCAAACATTATTCCGAACTGGAAGCAACGGCGAGGTGGGCAAACTATGGCCTGACCTAGAGGGTTAAGGAGGTTGTGCTCGGACTTGGCTTCATCGGGGCTCTCCGGGTGGGTCCCAACTATTAAAATTGTCATTCGCTGGGGACACGGCGGGATATCATCGAACGGAGGCCAGTGGCGTGAATGCACCCTTTTCTTGTATCCAATCGCAAAAGTAAAACAAACAAGAAGTCAAAATTGCTCGCAGTAAAACAGCAGAAAAAGTTGACTACCATAATTGATTGTTTTTCTTTTCTCCCTTGTCCTGTTTCTGTGTTTCTTCTTCAACTCATGTTTATTTTGGTGCCGTCTATGTAAAGATCGATGACATATATATGTCTAAATAAATAAACGAAACAAACTCCGACACATCCTTCACGGAAAGGTAGCGCCAGAGTGTGGAGCGGTCAGCTGAGCGAAAAGCGGTTTTCTGATCAAGGAAGTGATATACGGTCAAATTCATTTTCAGTGTGAAAGCTCTCGAGAGGTGTTCTCATTCCAAGAAATTTAGGGAACGTTTGTTTTTGGTTATTGATTGTTCATTTGTTGCCTTTCACGATTTACATTGCTCAAATTTTTTAGTTTTAGTTGCGAATCCAGCATTGCCCCGCATAGAGATGAAGTGTAAGAAAAATGTGGGCTTATCTATTGAAGAAAAGCCTAGATGAAAATGCAGGGCAGATCATTACGCATTGTAATAGAATGCTACTCTGATAGCCATACGCCCATCAGTAAATACTCGTGTTACTTTTTGTTGTAAGTTTACTTCCTCTTATTTGTGTCAGTGTAACCATAATATCAATTTTTCAGTCTTTCGTCTCTCTTAATGTGAAATTATTCCCTTTTGTAGTTCGCGTTCCCGTATTCGAGGAAATCTGCACTTATATCTGGTGTATCTACCCGCTGATTATAATCCCAGGATCTCCAATGTAAATCAGCTTCCAGTGGTAAGTTCATGTCGTATGCATTGGAAATGCATACTATTTTGGATTATCGCGACCATTGTGTGTCTTGCTTATGGTACAACGTTAGGAGAAAATTACTGTAACAAATATTTCTAAGAGCACAAAATAAACCTAGATTTAAAGTCAGACATTAACGAGCAATCTGAGGACAACAACTGTGGTTGATTTGTTCCATTATTCTATTCCTCCAACCCCCCAGACAAGTTTTCCTGAAGAACCCATGCATTTGCGTAATGCACGGAATACTGTTTCACACACTGACAGTCGCGCGCATTCCGCTCAGTTTTACTAAACTTCGCGGTCTAAATCAAAAACATCGATTGCTTTTATTTCACTTTCTTAAATTTTCACTTCTTTTTGTCGAATGTACAATGGTACAACTTTTAGGAACGGGATGAGGCACAATCTCTTTGAATTTTCTCGCCCTTTAGCTGCTTTTTATCCGAGACCCAAATCATTTGGTCTTTCACTGCTCGATTTATCCATCGTCTGCTTAGGTCTGCTGTGTCTATGCGTTTTTTCATTCAGAACGAGTAAGCCTTTCGATGGTTCCTTCCGTAAATTGGAGTTTTATTGGCTGACTCTCCAAATTCCACATTTAATTCACTACTTTTATGTTCTTTGTCTTTCGACAATCCTGATTCCTGCGTTTGACCATCTTTCACTGAGCACTGAAATGCTGGTTCCAGCACCCCACCGCTATCTAAACGTTTATAACAGTGAACGGTTAGTACGCAGATTGCACTACTGATATTCGACTCTCCATTCAATGCTGACGTTTTAGGGTTCACTTAGCTCCTTCTCCCTCTATCTACGACTACGTTGATCAGAGATGTCGATTAAAATCGGGATTGTTGGTTTTTGATGTGTGTAGAATGATTGAAGTTCTTGACGGCTTGCTGATTGGGTAATTGAAATATCGACTTTCCGAGAATCCGGTCCGTGGTTTTTGAACTTTCGTTTATTTCAAAAGCCCCAGGCGGTGAAGCATGACGGAGGCTAAATCTTTGGTAACTGCCCACTAAAGACCAACGATTATTGTGTCCTTAGACTTCTGCGCGGCCTTTGACTCTGTCAATAGACCCGCACTGTGGAACTGTTTGTTGATGGATGGAATATCTGAGAAGTATGTGTTGATCCTCAAAGAGTTGTATCGTCTTACCTCAGGTCGGGTTAAGGTCTATGACCAGCTTTCACCGCCGTTCGCCGTCTCCAGTGGAGTTCAACAAGGCTACCCTATATCCACATTCCTTTTCAACTTTGTTGGA